CCCCCCCGGTACTTACTGTCTGCTGGTCATTCCAGAGAACACAGGTTCAGGCTCTTCTGCATTGGCTTCACTTTCTGCACCCAGAGTTTATATCTGGTTCCTGCAGGTAAATAAAAAGAAATAAGACGTCATACTACGATGAACATTATACAAAACTGAAATGTAAAAAACATAAACATAGATTCAAACAAAACTGAATCCTCTCGAATGCACAGCTGAGGGCGACTCCGTCAGCGTCCAAAAGAAGTCAGGATTTAAATCTATGAGAAAAATAAATATGGTAAACGTTTTCCTGAAGAGTTTCTGTCTCAGTCTCTGGTTTTAAGTCTGTTTCAACACGATGTTCATTTTGTAAACTGTTACGGTAAATGATGTTCAGGTTGGGTTCCGTTACGTCACCTGAGATTTCCACTTGAAAGGTTGAGCGGGTGCAGGTGGGCGGGGCAGTGTCCTTGAGCTCTCTGTCAGGCTCCACCCCCTGCCCCTCCATATATGGTAACTAATGGTTTCTAGGAACCAAGATGGACGAACAAAATGTCAAACTGGAGGCTTCAAAATGGCAGCGCACAAACCAGCGGGTGATGATGTCACGTTTCAGGCTGTAATCATCATCAAAATAAATCAATCTGAGGAGGATCTGAAACTGCTCAAAGCTCCGAGACATAATTATACAAACTGTAATGACGGGTTGTGAGTAGACGTCGCTTGGTCGACTTCCAACATACGTACAGACCCACTTCATAAACAGCCTCGAACACACACTCGCAGACGTGGTACGTCCCGCCCTCACGTACGCGCCGCTACAAACACTCAGTGAAAAGGTGTTCACACCCTCACATGTATAATTATGATGTGTAGAGTGAGCGACGTGTTCCAACCTGCACTCACTGCCTTCACAATAAAGCTGCTCCGCTCACTGGATATTTACACAATGACTTCAACCCCCCCCCCCCCCAAAATAAACTTGTCTGAACATATTGTGCTCCTGCTCCCTTGGCAACTATTTATAAGCGAGTTGATGTATGACCCAGCACCCCCCCCCCCCCCGTCACTCTATATGCAGACACACACACAAAAAAAAAAGTTGGCACGTTGACCTCTGTCGTAAAAAAAACCTAATTTCCAGTTAAAGCAGCTTGAAGTGTCTCAGTATCCACGAAGCGCGATTACAGTAATGACAACATCATGGCGATGTTTAACACAACGGCTCTGTACTTTCAAGCTGTCATTACCGCACGAGCTGCGACGCTGCTGCACGCACGCTCTAAAAAAAACCAAACAAGTGCAGGTAAACCCAGATAAATACGTGTTAAATGCATGTTATTATCAACGTGCATTTCCTGTTCCGACTTGACTGAATGATTCAGGTGCATCACGTGCAGCCGACATTAAATATTCATCTCTCTGATGTATTTTTAAAATCTGATTCCTCCCTCGCCTCCCTTCTCTTTGTACAGTATTCACATCCTTTTAAACACTGTGTTGAGGGACTGGTGCAGATGATTATGAATGAATTACATTTGTTGATTGTGGACAAACGTGTCTCCAGCCATGCACAGACGTGGTTTATTAGTCTGGGCCTCGTTGTGTTTCTTAGTTCATTTGCACCTGAGTTTTTATGTGTGTTTGTATGGGGAGGATATTATTTGTGCGTGTGCAGAGTCAGATGTGTAAACATGTAAAAGAATCTGCAAACATGCGATGAGATTTTACAAATGCGTCAAGGAATCTGCAAATGTGTATGAAGTGTGTAGTCAGATTTGAAAATGTGTAAAAAAAAAAATGTCCAAACAAATACAGTTACACAACATCTACAGATTTCTGTTGTACACATTTATAAATCTGAACACTCACGGATTCTGAATTCACTTTTGTAGATTCCTCACAAATCTAATCCCAACATGCATTTGCAGGTTCTTTCACACATTTGCAGATTACACACACACACACACACACACACACACACAGACAGATTAAGATACAGTTACACAACTCTCCACACACTCAGACACACAAACACTAATGCCACAGCTTTGGCCTCATGCATCTGCTCCACCTGATTTCCGTCCCTCGTCACCCCCCAACCTCCCCCCCCTGATTTCCCTGCATCCTTTGCTGCACCTTATCTCCATCTAACCAAATTTTCTTTATTGGCATGACGGGGTCGTTGGTTGGCGACGGCCACCGTCATGGTGGAACAATGCATTGTGATGGTGATATTCATATGATAATACCATCAGACTGCAGATACGTTCAGATAGCCTCTCTCCTTTTCTTCTGTGTGTGTTTGTTGTGTGTATTTGTGTGTGCTGACTTTTCAGATGGTTTTTTAAATCTGTTGTTCTGTGTTGATGTTAATCCGCAGGCTGCCACTCCACCGCTCTGTTCCAGCATGTCTGTCTCTTTACCCTTTTTATCCCCCCCCCCCCCCCCCCCCCCCCGTTGGCAATCACATTAAGTCATTTTCATTCATATGGCTTCCGACAATTTTTTTGTTAATGCTCGCTGCCCAGTTTGTAACTGCACTGTATGTTCCTCTCCGTCTCTCTCCCTCTCTCTTTCTTTCTTTCCCTCCGTCTTTCTCATTTTTCGCTCTTCGCCATGTTGGCAGGGCCCAATCTACCAGCTGATATCAGCATTCCCTGGCACTCCGCCAACTGGCAACACTGCAGGAGAGACAGAAAGAGAGAGAGAATGAAAGAAAATTAGTGAATAATAGACGGAGGGAGGGAGGGAGGGAGGGAGCGAGAGAATGAGAGGGGGATGGGAGGAGTATGAATCAGGGGGAGAAAGAAAGGAGGCAAAGGAAGACGGGGAGAGAAAGAACAATAATGGTGGATTAAGAAAGGACGGAGTGTGTGTCTGTGGTTGTGTGTCTGTTTATGTGATTGATATAGTGTGATATCCCTGTGAGTCATAGCTGAGCTAAAATGTCAACTGGCTACATGAGAATCTCTTTGTCATCCAGCCTCAGTAACACACACACACACAAACACACACACTCACACACACACACGCACACACAAATCCAGCAGATCATACAAACACTTAAGTCACCGTACCGCCACATGAGCACGAATGTGGGCGACGACACCTGCGAACACAGATGTTCCGTTGTTTTGCCACAATGATTGATGACCTTTTGTTTTGTCGTGGACGCCTCTGCTGCTTCTCAACTCCAGTGATGGACAAAAACAGCCCATGTGCATAAATCCAGTCGAACTGATGCAAACTGCTGTGCACTCAAAATATTTGGACGTGCGTGCCAGGACGCTTGTTGTGTGTTCACTTTGCTGCTAATCACGTTTTATGTTTTTAGCTGACTGCATTATCTCAGGGTGACGGTTGCAGGACGGTAAACACGACAGAGCAATAAGCTAATAAACAAGTGGTCATGACTAAGCAGTGTGTTGTTCAGAGTCACCACACCCAGGCTGCAGATTGAAGAAACATGGCTGTGCATAAGTGCATGTGAACTGTATGTGAATGCGTGTGTGTGTGTGTGTGTGTGTGTGTGTATACAGTCCTGGATTAAGCAGAAAAGCTGCTACTGTGTGAGTGCACAGGAAGGGTGTGAGGGGAAGTCAAAACATCACGCGCCCATCCTGTTTGGGACAGTCCATGTCCTGTGGTGGTGGTGCCCTTAACTCCTAAACACACGCAGATAGACGCTGGTGCACGTTCCCACTCGGACTGATCTTCCCATATGTGCTCACAGTACGCACAGTACGCACAGTACGCAGGAGTACTGTGAACACGTGCAGGAGGCGGTGGAGCAGGTGTGCACCTGTTACACAGTGACGCACACGTGTATGTAACTGAGGTGTAAATGAAGATCAGGAGGAGGATGGAACTTATACTTAACATTTAAACACATTGAATATGTTGCTATAATTAGTTTGCAATTGATTCAGTGTTATTAGCATTAGTGATAAAAAAAAAACTATTCTGTGCAAATTGCTTTTAATCCTTTTTTACAGAAATCGGATACCTGCTGTTAATCGCTCAGTACTCCTACGTTAACACTCAGTGGTGGAGGAAGTACTTAAACATTTTATCTATGTGAGAAAGAACGACAAAAATGTACTCAAGTCAGTAGTAAAAGTACTTGCAGAGTGTTTCCTTTTCCTGAAAGCAACAGTCTACTACATGAGTCCAAAGTATTTTCAAGAGTGAAAGTGAAAAAGAACAAAGTGAATGTATTTAGTTTCACTCCATCACTGTTTGTTGACGCTGATCATTCTTATTTCAGTTTTAAGTTAAATCAGAACTTGTCTAGTTTTTTTTAAATATTTGAATTCCACTGGAATAATTGTTTGATTTTTAATTGCAAATATCTCAAATTCTAGTCTCTCATGAGTCATCAGTTGTTTTGTCTGTTTGTTTTTGTTCCCAGAAAATTAAAGGAGGAGGCTGCCACAGAAGAGAGTCCCCCATCAGCCGAGACAATAAAGAATGGCATAGTATCACACACGCTGCTGGTAAATCTTCACTGTTCGCATCGACACTCGCATTTTTACGAAGATAATTATACACAAGATGCAGATTTAAACTTCTCTAAAGACGTCTGTCCCATTCACTGTCTGTCTCCTTCTCTCTGTTCTGCTGCGATAGAGGATGGATTCCCCGCCGGAGTGTGTGTTGTCTCTTTCTTGTGAGCAGCCCCAGTCTCCCCCGACGCTGCCGTCCCTGGACCACAGCCCGCAGGCGTTGTCCCCTCACACCCAGCTCTCTCTACCCAACAGCCCCGTCGTCCTGCCCATCCACAGCCCCGAACCCTCTCCCCAGAGCCCGGACACCACGCCTTATTTCCCCCTCTCTCCCTTCCCCCTCCACGAGGATAACAACCACCACGACGTCGACGAAGAGGATGACGAGGAAGGGCTGGATGGAGTTCCTCCGTCACCAACCCCAGCGGTGGCTCTGTTCCCTGGAGGAGGGGGACAAGAAGCTGGGTGCAGCCCCTGTTTGGATACCTCCCCCCCGGCGACGCCATCAGCACCACTCCTTGGGTTCGAAACCCTGGAGCTCGCCCTCTCCTCTGGGCCGAGTGGGACCTGCAATGAAGAGCTAGACCTCCAGCTGTTCCAGAAAGACACTGTTACCAGGGCGATACCTGGAGTGGGAGGGGCCTCATCAGGGCCTGCACTCAAGTTTCCCTGTCACGTATGTGGGAAGAGATTCCGATTCCAAAGTATTTTGTCTCTTCACGCCCGAGCCCACAGTCTGGACCGAGACCGCCGAGCTTCAGCCCTCTACCGGAGCGGTCTCCCCTCAGCGCCCCTGAAGCAGCAACTCAAGGTCCAACAGAATCACAAAGACTTAATCCAGAATCACAGAAGTCACACAAACCAGCGCTTACTGCCAGGGACGCTCATCCAGCACCTGATCGAGGAAGAGCATGTTGATGGTGAGGTTAAGGGTCTCGATGAAGGCCTTCAGACAGACCACAACCCAAACTTTTTACTGGATGATAGCACACCGTTGACCCCTCCACTTACAGAGGACCCTGTCTCTGTGATCTCTCCCTACTATTCCACCACTGGGGAGGGGGCATCTACTCCCACAGCGCCTACGTATCGCTGCCATGCCTGCAAAGGAAAATTCCGCACAGCTTCAGAGTTGGCACGCCACGTCCGCATTCTCCATAACCCATATAAATGCACCCTTTGTCCCTTCTCTGCCAGCCAAGAAGAGAGCCTGGCATCTCACTTGCAGGAGTGCCACCCTTCTCCAGAGGTTCCTTCTCTGCCACCAGCCTTCAACTCCAGGCCGATTATTGCAACCCCTGACACTCCTGTGCCCACCCCGACCCATACCCCAGCCCCAACCCCGAACACGCCACAGGTGACGTCAGCTGCTGCAGCGGCTGCATCCTCACTGCCAGCGTTTCGCTGTGAAACTTGCGGACAGCGGTTTACCCAGTCATGGTTCCTTAAGGGACATATGCGAAAGCACAAAGACTCCCTGGACCATAAGTGCCAGGTATGTGGACGTGGCTTCAAAGAGCCTTGGTTCCTCAAAAACCACATGAAAGTTCATCTTAACAAGCTTGGACTGAAAGCTGGGCTGGGAACTCTTGGGGGACCGGGAGGTGCTAATCAGCAGGCCAAAGGCTCCGCAAGTAATCACTCTCTCAATGCCCTCTACTCCAGCCTCCTTCTGGCCCAGCGAGGAGGTGGCAGAGGTGGAAGGTCAGACAGGAACGCCGGAGGCAGACTAGGGATGGGATCAAGCAAGTCAGCCATCCTAGGATACCTGGGGCTGCCCAGTGATGGCAGTGGGGCCAGCTGCATGGAAAGACTTCAAGCAGTGGCTCAGGTGGCAGAGATGGGAAATGGTGGTGGTGGTGGGATTGGCGGCCCAGTAGGTGGGGACATGGGAAGAGGAGGGGGAGCTGCTAGAGCCATGGGTGACGCTACAGCATCGGTATCTGAAGGAGAACAGGCAACTTGGTGGCAGCTGGTAGCTCGCAGCCTTGCAGTCGCTCAGCAGCAGCAGCAGCATCAACAGCAGCAGCAGCAGCAGCAGCAGCAGAGGCCCCACCAGTCAGGCCAACAGCAAGGCCAGCGAGGACCGGGTCGAAGCTCTGTGATCACAGAGGCTGACCAAGTAAGAGCCTACCTTGGAGGCCTAGATCCAAGAGAAGACTCAGGAGCAGGAGGGCCATGGGAGTGCCCGGACTGCGGG